CTTTTCGTAACAAGAAAGTCAGTAGAACCACACCGGAAGTGTGAAGAGAAGTGGGGAATGCCAATAGGTGTTTGAGAGGTATGATTGCACAGAGATTGGAAGGGGGAGCCGGAAAGGAGAGGTTGGGGGGGGAGGGGGTCTGGCGGGCCCGTCACCTTTCACCTTTCACCTTCACCGACATCAAGGCACGGTGGCCCGGGGGTGACCAACGCAGCTCACGCCCTGGAGCACACGGGGGTTTCCCCTCCTGCTACACTGTAAGAACTGAGGCCGTCGGAAGTTGCACAATTCTTCGCCATCGTACTGACCTACTGTTAGTGCTTTTCTTTTGCCGGTGTCGGCAGCTATCGACGACGTCAGGTGAAACGCGACCCGAAAACAATTGACAGTACAAGTAATTAAAGCATTTTGGGGTAGCAAAGCAAACGTTCATCAGCCAGAGGCAGCGGATGCAGAACGCCAACAACAGGCTGTCGCTGTTGACAAAGAATTTCTAACTAGGCTGCTCCGATTGAGGGAGTAATCACGCAGTTGCACCCGAAATGAATCAAACCCTTTACCCCTTCACAGGATTCAGCCGGGACGCGGCACCAAATCGCCCTGGGTTTGTCTCCCAGCGCCTCCGAGCAGTGCGCCGGCGCGGGCCGGGCGGGCGGCGGGCGGCGTGTCCGGCTATTGCCCGGACCCCCGGCACCCCGGCCCCGGCCACCTCGCCGCCATCCGCGTGACCTTTAGGGACTTCTACAGGCGGCCTGGCGGCCTATGCCGCCGGTGCGCGCTCTTGATACGTCTAGAGGGCGGAGAGGTGTGTGGGGGTTGTTTAAAGGGATGGGAGAAAAGAGCAGAAAGGGAATAGGGGCTGCGTGTCGTCATGTGGCGACTGCAGCCAAACTCGAGACCTAGTCTGACGCCCATAAGTGAGAATGAATTGGGATCCCCAGAGAGTTCGACGTCCGTTACTCGCCGTTATGAACCTTTCAAGTTCAGCCTGTTGTTATACCACCACCAAAACCACCACTAAAACACTGTGCATGCTCGCCTAGCGCCTGACGGGTAGGCAACATCTCGACTGCTGCGCATGCGTGTACTGCGGGCTGGCCTGCCCGAAGTCTCGCAGGCGCCTCCGAGCTCCTCGTTTTGTGCTGTCGGTGCTGCCCTATGAATCTAAAATTAAAAACGGACGTATTTTCTAGACGACCCTGTATCGGTATGGGATAGAAAGCTTTAGAGCCCTTAGAGCGATAGGCGTGTCTTCCCCTCTCATTGCCATGCCACGGTGCCGGTTTAGGGGAGGGGGAGCTATCGGGCCACCGAGGACTACAAGCCTGCTACTATTTCCAACGCTGTGCGATAAGTCGGCAGGTCGCCTCCAGTCCAGTCCGTGGCCGGGGCGGCCGGGCTTTTGCTGACGTCAAGCGCTATGCACCCCGCCCCGCCCCGCCACGCCAAAGGGGCCGAAGGGCGGCCAGCAGGTGGATGAAAACTACTGGAGGTAGCCCCGACTCCGTCCAGAGCACAGGCCAGGCCTACCGCGTAGGGCCGGGATGTCGGCGTCGGCAGAACTCTCCCCTGACGCCCCACTCCACTCGCCCATCCACCTGCGCTATGGGCAGCCCCGCAGCCCCCGCAGCCCCGCCCGCTCGTCACGCCGGTGTCTAGCGCCGCTGGCGCCCTTGGCCTTGCGCTCCCCTCCCACCC